TTGGATGTTAGAAAGGGCAGGGAGAGAAGAGATAGAGAGAGGTTGATAATAAATGCCAAAATATTGTTAAATAAGAGGAATGAGTCGTAGCGTCATACAGCTAAGTAGRGTAACTGGAGTCTACAACAACTTATGAAATATTTCAAAATAACTAGAGTTCAGAGTTTCCCAAACATATAGAAATGACCAGTATTTGAGAAGATGGATGCTAATTATCTGCTTTGATCATTACATGTTTCACACAGGTATCAATTATCATAATATATATATATATATATATATATATATATATATATACACTTATGCATCCGTCAAAACAAAAATAATCTCAGGTCGGTTACTAGCTTTGTGACTTTGGAAAATTATCTTAATATCTCTGTGCCCATATTAGGTAAGGTCCTTTTCATGGTTAAGTTACAGAAACCAATTCTCTGTCCCTTAAGAAAGGAGAAGTTATTTTAAGAAACCAGATCTATTTAAAGCAGTGTAACTGAGTCAAGTAGGACAGAAGAGGAGGAAGATTGAGAACAGTGTCAGCCCAGATTCTCCAAGTTCAGGAGTCTATGGCTGTGCCTATGGATTCCTGCCATTAACCTGACTTATCAAAGTTTAGACTTTTTTTTTTAACCCTGGGTTTAAATTCTCAGTCAATTTAATGAGAGAAAAGCTGATTTATCCAGCTTGATTTGGGTCTGTGTTTTTGATCTACGTGTCTGTGTATCTGATGTAGAAATGTGGTTCTCAGGGGGCGTCCATGGCGTGGAGTGGGCAATTATTGCAGAAGAGGGGCCTCACCCATATCCAAGGGGATATTCATACAGAGCCTTGGCTCCTCGTCATATTATGATGACACTTATATTATCCTTTTAGAGTGTTATAAGGATCAAAATGGATAATGAGAAATTTTTAAAAAAACAACTTTTTACTGCTGACAAAGTGCAGATGAGGAGTGTTGTATATATTCCCGTCCCACCAGCCCAGTGGTTTCCCCGGATCTAAGAGACCACATTCCCCTCTCATTCACTTCCTCYATCTCATATGGCTTGAAAATTCAGGGGGTCCTTGGGAGGGGAAAGTCTCTTACCGTGGTGTTTTGGGTAAACGAGCCAAGGACACAGAATAAACAAAAATTAAAGGCCCCTGTAGGTACCATTTACCAAACTCTGTAAATTTTGTGGTGTCAACATCCCCCCCTCCTTCCCACACTCAGCTGATTCCAAATGACTAAAGTTTTTCAAAAAGTTTTGAAGAAATTGCAAATTTTCAGAGTTCCTACAAAATCACAAATGGTTTAGCTCCAGCACACTGTGTCTGAAGGTGAGATCCCCAGGGTGTGATTAGCAAAAAGAATCATCTTTCCGTTCAGCCCAGGCGTCCATGATCACTCACAGGGGGCTGGATCCAGACCACCCTGGCTGCCCAGGGCTGTGCTGTTTGTGGGAGGAAATGAGGAAGGAGTCTGAGTGGGGAGGCTAGAACACAGGAAATGGTGTAAACGCGCGGTATACAGATTGCTCAGTGTAGCCTGTAGGGGGAAGTCCTGCAACCCAAGAGGGCTCTGTGGAGGAGCTGAAATTTGAGTGCAGGGGGCCAAAATTGGTAGTTTCTATATTGTCCTCACACATACAACCCAGAGACAAGCTCTGGTCGGGTAAATTCTCTGCCACATTTTAATCCTATGGGGTCTGACCTGCACGGATTCTGCAGGACCAGATGCAGGGATTACCTCTCACCACATCTGGCAGCAAGACAGCAGAGTGATACTAATAGGACCTTTAGCATGTGTGCAATATTCACACGCTGTGAAAAGCACTTCTCCATGGACCATAGCACGTGTTGTCACTGACACTGGTGAGATGAGGTTGAGTCATTTTACAGATGAGCTCAAGGGAGTTAACTCCATTACTCAGTGTCACTCCACCAGAGTCACGTCCAGGACCCAGGCTGGCCTTACTCCAAAGCTAGTGTTTTGTTTTTTGTCTCCAAAACTGCTCCATCCATCCATCCATCTATCGCTTCACCCATCCACCTATCCAACCCTGCTATGTGGCAAGCACTATACTCGACGCTGAGATAAGAGTTTATAGACCAAACACCACTGACACATGCTGGGGGTTACAGAAAATTCTCTGTAGCTCTGCTAGAGGCCTCTCATGATACACAGTCTGAAGCCTGGCTGATTGTAGGACAGTCTGAAACATAAGGGTGAGCAGGGAGGACKGATGGAATTTCCCCTGGGTGGTTGTGTAAAGTCACATGCTCGTTGGTATCCCTTACCTCRGGACTCTCCCAAAGTCTGAACTGGAGAATTTTGGAAGGACAGATTGGGCCCAAAGTGCATGGTGGCACCCCTCTGTAATTCCAGCAACTTGGGAGCCTGAGGCAGGAGGATCACAAGTTCAAGGCCAGCCTCAGCAACTTAGAGAGACCCTAGCCCAATATTTAATAAATAAATAAATAACAAGAGGTGGGGGTATGTAGCTCAGTGGTAGAGACCCTGAGTTCAATATCCAGTGTCACACACCAAAAAATGGGGGTACCAGGCTGAACAWCTGGGACAGTTGGGATCCCAGGTCTGACCCCAGCTGATCTCTGCTGGGCATTTTGTCTCAGACATCACCCCACTTGTTCCTGACTGCATGTAATGGACTCTGGCTCCCCCTGCTGGAGCCAGAAGAACTCAAGAAGTTGTAGCCCCTGAAGCCTCCAGAGGTCCAAGCTGCTCACTGGCTCCCTCTGTAGAACCCTCTTCTCCACTGCTTTTCTCCTGTGGTCCTCATCAGCCCTCCTGGGTTACCCTTGTACTTTGTATGGTTGGCTAAACCGTTGCTGTAAAAAAAAAAAAAAAAAAAGAAAAGAAAAGAAAAGAAAAAAAATCCTCAATTCATTGTCCCATAATATCCTCCTCATTTTCAGACCCTGTTCCTGAGCCCGTCATAGAAATTGAGAAGGCAGAAGAAGTAAACGGCAATTGTTACCTGAACTTGTCGTGTGTGATACAGGACGAGTCAGCCAGCTATGTTTGGTATGGGGACTCGGGGCCCTTTTCAAATGAGTTCCAGAAAAAGGTGCTTGAAGTCTCTGTTAATCCACAAAACCAGTCCAGGTTTTACACCTGCAAAGCCAGCAATCCTGTAAGCAGCAAGAACGACACSGTCTACTTCATTCCGCCCTGTACTGTAGGTAAGAAATGATGTCCCCAGGAGCTGAGATGGGCACAGGGTGACCAGTTGTCTTTTCCATGAGGGAAGGTGGGGGATCTCCTGAGCCCTCTGGCACAGAATGTGGCAGAGAACCCYGGAGGTGTCTGGGAGACTTGGGTTCTACTCYRGACTCTGCCTCCACCTCTCAGTTCSTTCACCTCACTTTTGTGAAGCTCARCATCCTTGGATGCCAAGGGCAYTTAGCRTAAGATCTCTGACGCTCCCCACCCCGCTCCACTCTCATGATACACAGTCTGAAGCCCGGCTAATTGTAGGACAGTCTGAAACATAAGGGTGAGCGGGGAGGACAGATGGAAAGCTGTCCAGGCATTGTCGAGCAAGAGCCTAAAGCTTCAAGGCAAGAAGGAAAGGGGGGTGAGCAGGAGAGGGGCTCTCCAACAGGACTGACAGCCTCTCCCTTAGGTGGAGACTCTGCCCGGTTTGGGTTCCTGGATGAAGATAGAAATGCAAACTTTTGAGTTTTATGTTTCGGATTCCTCTGTGTCTCTGGAGGTTCCACTCTGGAGTATCACTCCTGGCTGTAGCTCAGGCCTCCCCGGGTGTTATCCAGGGACAGCTGAGCTGGTAGGTTTTAGAGTCGATCACGCTTGAGGTCAATCCTGACACTACCATTTACTAGCTATAAACAAATTACTTAGCTTCCCCCMAAATCATTGTTCTCACCTCATGATGTGATAAGGAATAAGACAATACAYAGAACCTACCTCACATCCTGATTGATGAGTCCTCAATGAAAAGTGGCTGAATGAGGTTCATTCCCTTCAGTTCTRGAGACAACTTAATAAGATCACAATCTCCAGCACTCTGGGCCCCGTACCCTCCATGCCTCTAAAGTGATATCCCTGAGCCCCTGTATACATATTCTTCCAGAATAACTCATACCTGTGGTGCTGATGTTCACCTGTGAGCCTCAGCTATTAATGAATTACTTAGCTTCTCCAAGTTATGTCTTTTTTTTTTTTTTTTTTTGATGGTGGTGGTGCTGGGGATTGAACCCAGGGCCTTGTGCAAGCTAGGCGAGCACTCTACCAACTGAGCTACATCCCCAGACAAGTTATGTCCTTCCTAAAAGACAGGAATGATAATCCATTCATTCCCAGGGATCCTGGTTCCTATGCTTTTGTGATCTTCCTGGGCTCAGTCTCCCCTCCACTGATTACTCTGTTCTTACAGGTGGGCTATGGGACCTGACCRCTCTTCTTTCTTCTTTCCAGCTAACTGGACATGTCTTTTTAACATGTCCTAAGATGCCCTGCTCTTCTGCCACCCCAGACCCAGTGTGACAGGTCGCTGTCTGACCATGAGATCACAATTTGGCTGGGCAATCCCAACACCACTTTCATATCAATACCACCTGTGGAGATCCAAAAACGAAAGAGGCACAGTCCTGTCCCTTATAGAATGGAATGGCTGCTCATTTCAGAGGGATAACAGCAATCATGTGCCCATTGGGGGGGGGGGGGAGGGCTAAATCAGTTTCGTCCCTTTTTAGCCTTCCAAATTACCCTAGAAAGTACTCCTAACCTCATTTTCCTATTTTTCTATTCATCTCCTCTTTCTTATGACTTCTCCTTCCTTTCTTTCCCTTCTTTTTAAATCCTTTTTCCTTTCCTTTTTTAAAAATATTTTTAATTGTAGACGGACCCAATGTCTTTATTATTTTCATTTTTAGGTGGCGCTGATGATCAAACCCAGTTCCTCACATGTGCTAGGCAACCGCTTACCGATGAACCACAACCCCAGCCCAACCTTTCCTTTTTCCTTCCATCTTTTTGCACAGATGGTTATTGGAGTGGAGGAACAAAGCCTTCCCCGAAGTCAGCTATGCCTAGCGTTACAGCCTCACCTGTCTAGGCCTGAAAGTCTATGGGCTGTCAAGTATATTTGCTGTCAAGTATATGGGCTCAGCCTTTTCCAGCCCCATTATGCCAAGGGAAACTTCAAGCACAGGATTCAGCTAAGTTAGTGATATTTAAAGGATTTCTGTGTGCTTTACACTTTACATCTGGAGGGAYTGAACTCTTGAGAGGAAGAGGATGCCCCAGGCATACTGAGATTAGATTTAGGGAGGAAACTTTTTTCTTTAATTTACTACTTTCCATGCCAATATCCCAGTGCTCCTGCCCCTTCTCAACGYATTAACCAAGACACCTTAATGTTTGGGGTTTCTTTGCTCTTTCAGTCAGATCCTCTGAAGTAACTTGGATCGTAAGTTGGTGGATGGTCATGGTACCCACTGCTGCTGGCTTCCTACTTACTCACTATGAACTCTTCTAATAATTCAAGAGTGAAACTTCAAGGCCACTGGATCYTACCTTCATCAGCAACCATGCTCTTAACCAGGACAGGAGCTCTGGTTACATGGGATGAGACAAAGTATTTTTGTGGAAGCATCTTTGAAGATGCTCAATGAATTTTTTTTTTGTAAAAAAAAAAATCTCTGGTAAATATTTTATGTTATGTTTCATCATTGTTTTTCAACACACACCCATGGATACATACATATGCTTTCTTTCCACCAAAACAACATGATCATACTGTGAGGTTTTTATTTTGTTGTTTTTACTTATTTATATATATATATTTTTTTGTGGTGCTGGTGATTGAACCCAGGGCCTTGCATACGGTAGGCAAGTGCTCTACCACAGAACTACATCCTCGACCCTACGAACGTTTTCTTRCGGTTTAAATAAACATTCCGGTGTGACCATTTAAATTCCTGAAGTTGTTCCAAATCTAATAGTGCTGGTTCCACCAGCCTGGGCAGACTGGAAAGAGGACACACAAAAGAAGAGTGACACACAGGTGTCTATGTGTCCGCACAGTTGAGAGGTAGATTGTRCTACTTCTGATCTTTATTCCAACATCCATGCCAAGATTCCTGGGGTTCCCTGTCTCCAGCCTGCTCATGGAGAGTGACCCGACTTCTTCGGTCACCATTGTAGCTGGGGGAACAACGTTTCAGATCTTAGTTGTATCACAGGATCGAATGAAACCATCTTTGTGTACTGGGCRTTGAACCCGAGGGCATTCTACCACCCCAGCCTCTTTTATCTATTTACTTCTTAAATTTTGAGACAGGGTCTCTCTAACTTTCCCAGGCTGTCCTCAAACTTGCAGTTCTCCTGCGTGGGCCTCCCA